ATTTAAATACAGTGCTAAATAAAAAGAAAGTAGAGAGATGAAGCAGCAAAAATACTTTCTATCAAAGATATTTCAAATTAAAAGTAAAAAAAAAAATAAAAGTATAAGTGTTGGAAACTAATTCTTTGATGCACTTTCAAAAAAATTCCCCAAAGAGTCACTGAAAAAAGCCACCCTTTCCTCCCAACATTACATTTTCTCTGTAGTTCTGTTGAATAACATAAAGTGTTGCGTGACACATCCACACCATTCATGCTTACTATGATTCTGCTCTCATATAGTTACGGTACTACATACATGACAGTAGCACTAGTATTACAAGATTGCAGCAAAAAGTAAACATGTAAAAGACAGAGTAAAATAGGATGCCACTTTCAACAGAGAGTAGAGTCCAAACATTTAGTTTCCAATTTATGAAAGTTGGGAAAAAATTAAATTTTACCACAACAGTAAAAAAACCGTGCAATAACATGATTTATGATATATAAATCACACCAAACACAATGTATGATATTCTATATCTAAACCTGGTCTCTTCAAAAAGTAACGTCTACCTATAAAAAGATTATTACAAGAATGAATGTGCATGGTGGTTTTATGTATAACAATCATACTGCTGCAGAAACAACTCAACCATCAAGCAAACAACAAATGGCATCAAACTAAAAGGCTTCTGCACAACAAATAAAGAAATCAAGAGAGTAAGGAGACACCCTATAGAATGGAAAAAAAATTTCAAAACATGTATCTGATAAGGGGTTAATATTCAAAATATATAAAAATAAAAAGAACTCAATAGCAAGAAAACAACCAAACAAAAAATTAATGTTAAAATAGATAAAGGACCTGAATAGACATTTCTCAAAAGAAGACTTACAAATGGCCAATAAACATATGGAAAAGTTATTCCCATCTCTAATTGTCAGGTAAATCCAAATCAAAACTATAATAAAGTATCACCTCAAGTACGTTAGAATGGCTATTATCAAAAAGACAAAAGATGGTAGTGGTACCTTGGTTGACAAACTTAATTTGTTCTGCAGTTTTGGAAAAGATGACTACCTTTGTGTTTGTGTGAGAAAGATGGCTGCAGTTGTGTTTATCTCCTGATGCAGAGTTTGCAAATGAAAACAAAATTTTGCCAAATGCTTCTGTTGCGCACCAAATTGCAAACAAAAGCATTCGTGAATGCAGGCAACACTGTATTGGTTAGTGAAGGTGAAGAGGAAAAACCCTTGTACTAGATCCACTATGATCTTATAATCCTACTTCTGGGGATATAGCCAAATGAAAGAAAGTAAGTATGCGGAAAATATATGTTCCCATGTTCACCACAGCGTTATTCCCAACAGCCAACCTGTATCCATCAATGAATGATTTTTTAAATCTAATATACTGCACATTTGGGGACTAGTATACTACTCAACCTTAAAAAATATTAAAATTTGTAATTTGCAACAACGTACATGATCTCGGAGGACATTATGTTACGGTACATAAGCCAGACACAAAAAGGCAAATTCTTCATGATCTCATAAGTAGAATCCAAAAAAGTCAAACTCAAACTAGCATAGATTAGGACAGTGTTTGCCAGGGGCTGAAGAGTAGGGTGGGGAATGTGGAGATGGTGGTTAAAGGGTACCACACTTCAGTAAGGATGAATACAATCTAGAGGTGTAATATACTGCACAGTGATTACAGTTCACAATAGTATGCTAGAAAATCCCTGAGACAGACCTTAAATGCTTTCACCACCAAAGAAAAATGTGACATAATGTATATGTGAATTATCTTGATTTAATCATTACACATTGTACAAACATTACTTGGTATATTGTGAATATATTTATCTGTCAGTAAAATTTTAAAAGGCAATAATGGCTAAGTATGTTGTGGTATGTACATGTAAGATACTACAACTCCACAATTTAAAGGAAGGAATAAACCATCAAAACACACAACAGCATGTTTGAATCTCAAAAACATGCTGAGCAAAAGAATCCTGGTACAAATTATTATAGATAATATGAAGTGCAAGTACTGGTAAACTAATCTCTAGCCATAGAAACCAGAAAAGTATTCCCTTCTGCACAGGATTTGAAAGGGGCACAAGGAAATTTTGTGGAGTGATGGACACATTCTAAATTCTGATCTTGGTTAAGATGACATGAATGTACGAATTTATAAAAATCCAATGGGGGAGCAATAATGAAACTGAAAAAAAGAATTCCTTTATATTAAAATGGTCTACAAAGAACTAAAAAAATGATCAAATGCAACATGTAAACCTTGATTAGATCTTGTTTGAAAAATTATCATTCACTCATTCTGTTACAACTGGGAAAATGTGAATTACACTAGATATTAAGCAATGATTACTATTTTAGGTGTGATAATGGTATTTGGTTATGGAGACTAACCTTGTTTTAGAAGGTGCATACCGAAGTACTCAGGAATAGAGTCAATAATTTAGTTTCAGATGTTCAGTAAAAACATTTTATGTATCAGCAAACATACAGATATAGATAAATCAAATTAATGTACATAGGTCATAGTGCACAAATATTCCCTAACCGATTCTTCCAGCTACTGTTTGAAAATTTTCATTTAAGAAGTCAGGAAGAAGGTTTCTCCAGGATATATTAAATAAAGAAAAAAAGCAAAGTACATAACAGTTTATAAAACATGAGTCCTATAGTGCAAAAAAAGAAAAAAGTAAAAAATTGGTGTGTGTGCAAAAGCAGTCTGTGTATGTATCTGATTATATTATGACCCATGAAAATGGTCACCTGGAATAGATGAGTTTAGTGAGAAATAGGTTTGAAGAGATGTAGCTTGGAAGTGAAACTTTTAAGCATTTCATTGTATACAGTTTTGATCTTTATGCCACGCAAATGTAAAAAAATAAATTAAATAAAAGGAAAATGAAAAAAATACTAAAATTATCTCTGGTCATAATTCCTCTGTTCAGCTAAAGCCAAATTAATTAAGACAGTCAACTTGCACAGTTGCTAATGGTCTTTTTTATTCCTCGTGAGTATGAGACATTTCAAAAGGGTTTCAGAAAACTTAGCATCTTGTTGCAGACCTGACCCCGAAATGGTTGTGCAATCTTCAATAAGTAATTTGGCTATAGTACACCTCCATTTTCTCACTTGTAAGAAGAAGCACCAAATACAATGACTTCTAGGATTTCTTAGAACGATAAAATTCTGTGACTCAAATGTCTACCAAAAAACCTAATTATTTCCACCTGCAGAATTTTCTTCAGCTTTGATGAATAACAAAGCTCCCTTACAGTTATTTACTTTTTGCAGTACAACTAATACTGAGGCTAAGATAATACAGAGGAATGAAATATGTTTCTGATTCTCAGCAGTAATCAGTTACAGCAGAATACTTCCTTTTAGGCAGTTTGTACAGCCAACACAAGGGAAGCAGCCGGCACTGTCAGCCTGTAAGGCACTGCACTTACTAGGCCACTAACCCCATTGGTTACAAAGGGAGGAAGAAGAGGCCAATAACCAAGTACTGAACTTGGAGTTTTACTAACTGCCTGTGAACAAGCCTGTAGAGCTTCATGCATTCTTTTGCTAAAATAATCGTCCTTTGCAAAAAAGTTGCTAAAAATGTAGTTTGGGATGCAAAGATATAAAGTTAGGGCTATCGAGTTTCTGGCTAAAATTTCTGTAGACTTGAACAGAAACCAAGAGTCGCACAAGCCTGTTTCCCCATCCTCACCTCATACAGTGCCCAGCCCTGTTTAATGAAGCTTCCCTTCTTTAAGACCTAAAACAGTTTTGGGACTTCCTGTAGGTTTGGGTTTGGTGTTGCAGCAGCTCCACTGAAAGTGAGGAAGGCTAGCTAGGAGGGAGAGGAATGCTATAATTCTGGGGTAAGTAGAAAGCAAAGCTTTGACTGCAAGGTGCACAGGAAGGAAAAGCAGAGGGCTCCTGGGGGCAGCACGCGGGCAACACGCAGAAGGGTGATCAGTACTTAAGCACCCTCTTGAGAAGGCTGAGACCAGAGGAGTTACAGAGGAAGGAGATGAAAGCAAGAGTTCTGGTTCCAAACTATTACCGTTCTGTCTGTACCTGCAGGGATAAATTGGGGTGCAAAGAGGCTCTGGAGGGGATTTCTAGAGCTTTTGTCTGAAGAGGAAACTAAAAGGATTCTCTAAAGAATGCCGGGGAATCAATCCAAGGCCCCTTGGAAGGACCTTTTGCAATCAATCAACCAGATGGTTTTCTCAGAGCCTGAAGAGGTCTCGGCTGGGGCTGGATTTCCACAGGAGCTGGGCCAAGGTCCTCTTACACAAGTTTGTAGAGTGGATGGCTTTGGGAGTTTGGAGAATGAGGAATTTCCTTCTAAATGCTCAGGGGGCCCTTCTGAGAATGACAAGAAGGTTCACTCTCTTAGCCCGGAGAATTGGGGACCAGAGGTGGCTGAAGTGATTTCTGAGGAGTTAGACGCGTTTCTCCTAGGAGGCCCTGGGAGGAAACGAAAAGGTACTTCGAGCCAGGACACAACATTTCAGTTGCTGGGGGTGAAGACTGAATTACTGTAAACCCTTCACTAACGGGAATCTTGGAATCTGGTCAGAAAATGTGTGCCTGGAGCCGCGGGGAGGAAATCCACACATTCACGACCGAGAGTGGGACTGGTGTAACTCACCAAGAGACCAGGGGACAGGAAGAGGAACTTAAAGAGACACCACCGCCTCCAACTCACAGGAAAGTTGGAAGTTACTTGAAAATAACTTGAAAGCATCAAAACTAGAAGTTGGGATGCAGCTAGGAGAGCTGAGTGGGTCCGGCCTCAGCGCCGTAGGAGCGGGAAGGCGCTCCCGACTTTAAGGTGGGGAAGAAAAGCTGCCCCGGAGGCAGAACTCCTCAAGACGAGCCGGAGGGTGAAGGAAGTTTTAAAGAATCCCGGGCTCCCGGAGGTGACCGGAGGAAGGCGTTCCTGGGACTCTTTTCCCGGGCCGGACCGATACTCACAGAGCGGATCTCCAGCGCCAGGGCGCATTGCAGCGCCTTCACCTTCGGCATCCGCGCGAGGTGGGGCGGCGGGGAGGGACCCCGGCCACCGGCCCGAAAGAGGCGGGGAAACGCGGGGCGGGGCGGGGACGGGGAGGTGGCGAGGTGACGGTGGTGGCAGCTGTGGCCCCCAGGCCGGGGCCCGCGGTCCAGCCTGGGTCCCCGGAGAAGCAGCTGAACGCGGGGCGCTGACTCGTTGTCATGACAGCCTGTAGGGGCGGGGCCGGAAGAGAGGCATGGCGGGAAGCGCCCGAACTGTGCGCGAGGGCTGCAGGCAGGGGGCGGGGCTCAGCGTTCGCGGGCGGGGCTTCAAAAGGGGCGGGGCGCTGGGCGATCCTCTTATGACGTCACTCTGTGAGCCCAAAGCAGGAGGAAAGAGAACGGCTCTTCAGTGCGGGTGCTGTACGCAGGGCGGGGAGCTGGACTCGAGCTGAGTTCCAGTGGCAATGCTAACTTGAGCCAGTGTCGTCCCTCTGTGGCCTCAGTTTTTCCAGCTGTATAGTATGAATAATAATTATTATTATCGAATTTCACGGTACAGTTTATAAAACCAGCATGAAGAAACTAAGGATTAGAGATTTATCTAACGCAGGAGACAGGAATCTGAGAACTCTGGAGTAAAACCCCAGTTGCCTGCATGGGAAGAGGAGTTTGAATCATCATGATCTTAGTTCCGTGATCTCTGTGTTAGTGTGGTCCCCCTTCCCTCAGGGTTCCTATGTAATTCACCCAGTGCAGATTGCTTAAGTTGGACAGTCAATGAGGGGCCAACCATAAATCCAGTTGGGAAGGGTCTAGCCATCAAAGATAAAAAACCACCAGAGAGATTACCCAATCCAATCTTGTTAAAATCATTTCTATTGCAAAATACGTACACAGAAGTGTGTGAAGTGCCCCCATCTTAATAAAGAACAATGCCTGTGCAACCAGCATCCAGTTACAAAATGGAACATTTGTAGTGCCTTGAAATCGGCCCATCTCATTGTGTTGCCTTGTTTGCTCTGAAAGCAGCAACTCCATTGACTTTTTTTAAAAAAACAAGGCTCCCTTTGCAATTAATAAATTAATTCAGTGGAGGTTGTTTGTTCTTTGTGGTACTGGAGATTGAATCCAGAGCCTCCACACTGAGTCTTCTTTTTCATTTTTTATTCTGAGACGGGGTCTCACTAAGTTGTTAAGTTGTTGTTATAGTTGATACATTGTGTTAACTTGGGGAGTCTAGAGGTTCGGCTAAGTGACTCAGCAGGGAGCCAGGGTGCTTACTTGTATTCATCCTGAGCCTGTGCAAGAGAAAGGCATACAAAGGGTGTGGGTGTAAAGGACCACCTCCACCCCCTTAGGGAGGGTAGTCTACATAAAGAAAGGAAATCAAAAAAGGACTGGCTGCTGGTTCTTCAGGGAAGTCCAGTCTTCATTTTCAGCTTGGTCATCTCCTGCCTTCTATGCAGACTGTTTGGCTTCCGCCTGGGATTCTTCAGCCTTCTGCTATAGGCTCTCCCACCTTCGTCGTAGATTCTTCAGCATTCCCTCACAGGCTCATCAGCCTCCTGATAAGGACTTGCATGGACACTGCAGTGAGCTCTAGGCCTGGGGCTGCGCTCTTCAATCTCCAGCGTGCAAACACCCCCTGCATGCTTCCTCATCCAACTCTGTGGCTAACCATTGTAAGACAAACTTATAATTTCTTATACATTTATATATCTTGTGTTATATCTGTTTCTCTAGTAAACGCTAACTGATAGAGTTGTCCAACCTGAGCTCAAACTTCCTACCCTCCTGCCTCAGCCTGTCAGAACACTGATTGTAGGCATAGGCCACCGCACCAAGATAATTGATTCAGTTGTGGACATTGTAGATATCTTTTTCTGGTTTCATCTGTTTATAAATTTTATCCAGGGTATACTTAATTAATAGAAATAACCTAACTTCAGTGTAAATCAAACCATTTATGTCTCATATTTATGTTTGTGCTTCTGGCATTTTAAGTCTCCCTAAGTCTAGGTGAAAAATATATTTCCTGTATTTTTTCTATAAACATCATAGTTTTGCCTTTCAGCTGCTGATATTGAATCCACCAAGATGTACTCTTTGTATATGATGTTAAATAACCCCAAATCCAGTTTTTTTTCCTCCCCTTTTCCTACTCACTTTCTCATCACAATACCTATTACCCACAGCTTAAAGGACGAGAGGTTTATTTTGGCTTATGCCTTCAGAAGTTTCAGTTCAGGGTTGGAAGGCTCTAAAGCAGAGTCAACGTGGTGGGAGGGCCTGCTGCACAAGAAGGCTGCTTCCATCATGGTGGCTAGGAAGCAGAGGGAAGGGAGGAATCAGGGGAGGAGATACACCCTTCCAAGTTGTGCCCCCAGTAACCCACCTCTAACCAGGCCTCTCTGCCTAACATAACACAGCTGCATCCACTGATGAGCGTGGCACCCACATAATCCCAAAGCCCCATGAAAAAGCCCTATGTCTGAGAGCATGAGAGTTCTGAGGGACAATGCAGGTCCAATCCACAAATATCCTCTAGAAGAAAAGCTGGAATTCTCACCACTACATTAAACAGTTTATGCTTCTCCTCGTTGATTTGAAGTCTCACCTTTATTGTATATTCAGTAGTCAACATTTTATCTTTGAGCTTTCTATTCTGTTTCTGTGCTCTATTTGTGAAGTCTTGCAACAGTGTCACACTGCTTTATTAGTATGGCTTCATAATGTCTTGTTTGGCAAGTTTCCTTGTTTATTATATAGTTTTAGCTATTTGTGATCCTTTATTGCTTTTTTAAAATTTTAGAATAATTTTATCAATTCCTCAAATTATCCAAACTATCCAGTTCAAAGTATCATCCAATCCAAGAGCAAGGAATATGTTTCTATTTATCAGATCATATTTTATATCTTTCATTAGAGTTTTTAAATTTTCTCCACAGAGATTTATTTAATTACTAGTTATTTGTTGTGGCTTGTATCTAGATGTCCCCCCCAAACCTCATGCAGAAATAGATGGGACTTTTCAGAGATGGCTGGATCTAGATTGTGCAATGCTGAGATTAAAGATGTGGTGCTGGGGTTAATTCATGGTGCAATGCTAGGATTAAGGGTGCCCCATCCAAAGGGTAGGTAGCATGGATATTGTCTTAGTTACTCTTCTCTCATTGTTGAAACAAAATACCTGATGCAAAGAATTAAGGAAAGAAAAGTTTATTTAGATTACAGTTCACGCAAGTTTCAGTCTATAATCAGCTGGCTCCAAGGCAGAGTGGCACATGGCAGAAGGCAAGGGTTCAAGGTGGCAGAAAACAGCAAAAGCAGCAAGAGCAAAAAAGGAGGAGCAGCAGAGAGTAAGCCTCTTTCCCTATCTTATACTTTATGCAAACTACCCACCCTAGGGCAGGTGTAGCACTCACACCCATAATCCCAATATTGGACCATGAATCAACCATAAACTCTAGAAGCCTGCCCCATGACTGCATGAGGCTTTGGGGAGACATCCAGGAACAAACCATAACAGATATGATATAAGGGACGCAAAGAGGGCTGCTGTCATTGCTTTCTGCTTTACTTCTTCACTACTTTGCTGCCTTTTGCCCACCATGAAATGTTTCTCCTCTGTGATGCCCCTCTGCCATGCCATCCTGCCCTGGAGCCAGGCAACTATGAAATGAAACCTCTACAAACTGTGAGCCAAATAAATCTTTCTTCCTTTATGTTTGGGCATTGGGTATTTTGTCTCAACAACAAGAAAAGTAACTAAGATAATGTTTAACTATAGTTCTTTTCCTTTATGTTATCAACATTAATTCCTTAATTTTTCCATATACTTACTAATTTGTTACTGCAATTGTACAGATATTTTATTTTTATAAGTTGATCTCGTAAATCTCTTAAACTCTTCATGTTTAGTTCAGTTTGTCCATTGTTCCATTATTACTATTGATATCCTCATAAAAATGATAACCACTGTACTGTTTTCTTATAACAAATCATCACAAATTCAATGGCTGAACATAAAAAAAACCTTAATTATCTTACTGTTCTGTAGGTCAGAAGTCTGACACAGTTCTAACTGGGCTGAAACCAGAGTCAGTTTCTTTCTGAAAGCTCTAAGGGAATCAATTTCCTTGTCTTTTTCACCTTGTGGAACCTCCAAGCATTCTTTAGATCACAATCTCAAAAATTACAAGTCAAGTCTATCACTGCATCATGCTGACTTCATTCCTACCTCCATCCTTTCCATTTAAGGACTCTGTGGATTACAGTGAGCAATCTAGATTAACAGCATACTGTTCCTATCTAAAGATCATCTGATTAGCAACAGTAATTCCATCTAGAACCTTTATTCTCCCTTTGCCATGTAAGTTATCATATAGTTACATGTAGGATGGGGATATCCTTGGGGGATTACTAAAAATTCATGAGTTAGTAATGCTATTCAAAGAGCAGAAAAAGCATTGATCAGCTTTGGATGAATTTAGGAACCAAGTCATTATAGTTCTTCATAAATAAAAAGAATTGAGCATTTTTTTCTGTGCATCCTTTTTCCAATGTTCTGTGACATTTTAATTTATTATTATTAAATATTTGTGTTACATAATAAATGCACCTATCATGAGGAATTGGTATATATGTATGTAAGTATATATATAAATATATGTATATATTTATATTATTTTTTATTTCTCCTTCCTCTTCCTCCTTGCTTCCCTGATCCTTAGCCCTTTCTATCTCCACAATCTGTCTCCCTGTTTCCTATCATCTCTCCTAAACTTTCCTATCCTATCATCTAAACTTTTTTTATGTTTTGGATTTCTCATATAAGAGACACCATGCGACATACAATCTTCTGCATCTAATTTGCTTTACTTAGCATTGTGAACTTAAAGTACATCCACTGTCCTATAAATGACTCAACTTTTCCCCTCTTCATGGTTGTCTGGACTATATCCCAGGGTAAGCAAAGAGATTTTGAGGAAAAATTTCTTTACGGAACCTTCCCATCCATAAACAAATAAGAATAAAGAATTACAATATTCATGGCTGCTAAAACTGTTATAGAGAAGCTGATGGGGAATGTTATACTTAGATCAGTCTAACAGTGTTCAAATATACTGATTGTAATATCACAGAGAGAGACAAGTGGAATTTCCCTTCTGAAGTGATGTTACTAGGAGTATATGATACTACCTTTTATGCAAAAAGTAAAAAACCTAGAATCTGACTAACCACTCAGCGAAATGCTGGATGATCTTAGGAATCACCTTGTGAGGTTTCTT